CATCCTGTACCTGCCATCACCTGGTTAAACATGTGAGCTCTCCACACAGACTGGAAAATGGGGGGGGGGGACAAAAAAAAACATCAGCCGAGGTAAAGAAGCTCACTGAAACACCAACATCCTCCTTTTTACTGAAGCCCCGTGAAAGCATCACAGCTTTGCCGATCTCAGAGTGTTAAAAGAAAATAAATTKCWGTATCCGCAWCGTGATCCGGAACATCACCAAAATTTAAAGGTGTGTTCCTTGGCCCAGTACCCACATGTGGTAAAAATGTCATGACAATCCGTCCACAAGTTTTTGAGTAATGTTGTCCGCAGACYGACCGACWGACAGACATACGCGACCMAAAACATTACCTCGCCCTTGGCGGAGGTAAAAAGATATTTGGTAAAATTAACATAGGTTTCATAAGGTGCTATACTACCTGCTGTGGTTATCACATGACATGAGGCCTGACAGGAACTATTTTTTAAACACGTCTGATTGACAACTGTGTAGTGAAATCCCCAAAACAACTGCACCCCTGCTGCTCATGGACGACCTAGAACAAGATACTGATCAGAATAAAAATACCTACTTTAAATGAGTGACAGTGATATTTAAAGGTAAGATTCAACATGTGTTTAGTGTTAGAGAGAATATAAGAAGGCAAGATCAGAATCAGATGTTTTGTTTCAAACAATGGACAGAAAATAAACCAGATGTGTGGCAAAGGTAAAGTAAGCGTTCTTCTAAAACGTCTGTTTACGCTCCGTAAATAGTTGAATCTGTTGCCTTTTTGTTTTTGTCTTTTCTTTTCATCACGACCACATCCCAGTAGGTGCTGTCACAATCTTCCTGTTAGCATGGTGTTTGTGTACATATTTCATACGTGAGRCTTCGCTTCGTGTAAACAGCCTCAGACAGTTCCAGCCCAAAAACAAAATAAGCCCGCTGAAGCGTAACAGCCAATTCATCTGGAACGTAGCTCCAACCTTCATCCATGCAGTGATCACACAGTGGAAGATTCATCTGAGGGTATTTTTTCTTTTAAATAGCAATTTTCATGTCAATAAAAAGAAAGGATGTTTTTTTTGTAGTCACCGCTACACAGCTGGGTGCTTGTCAAACCTTTTCTGTGTTCAGACTCTTATCGGAAATCAGTGCATATGAGACGCACCATTTTCAGACTTTTACCAATATAAGCCCAAACTTACATTTTTACCAATTAATTTCACTTTGCAGAGGAAATGTTAGCCCTCTTAGGAGAAATCTGTCTCTACATGAGTTCTTTTAATTAATTAGTTTTTTGATAGGCTTCAGAGTGGGAAAAATAATTCTTCAAAGCTAGACATCTTTTATATAAATCAAAACTGAAAACAGACTCCCAAATGCAGTTTGATGAATGTAGCTCAGACTGAATTTTATTTCTTTTGTAATGTCCAACTCTGGATGTTTTCCTCTACGCCCCCCAACTTCTCTTATAGATGAGATTCTGATGTGTAAGTCTGTAACYAAACGCTCTATGAGTAGAGTTTATTCTCTGCTCAGCTCATTTTCTGACTCCAATTTAGATTCTTTGAAGGGCAAGTGGGAGATGGACTTGGAGGAATCCATATCAGATACAGTTTGGCAAAAAAAAATTTCAAAATATATATTCGTCCTCATTATGTGTGAAACATGTTATAGTTCAATTCAAGGTAGTACATCGTCTACACTGGTCTAAGGACAGATTGTACAAATTCAAAAAGGACTTGGATCCGWCGTGTGATCGCTGCGGACAATCTCCTGCCACACTTCTACACACATTCTGGTCCTGTCCAAAGTTACATGGTTACTGGRAAGGCATCTTTGACACCTTTTCAGGACTATTTGGACGAACTGTTCATCCATCACCACTCATTTCTCTTTTTGGGGTGGCTCCAGCAGAAGCTTCCCTCAGTGAGCATCAGAGGACGGTGTTAGCTTTCTGCTCTCTACTGGCTAGAAYACMTATTCTTCTTCGATGGAAGGATCCATGTCCTCCAGTATATGGTCATTGGTTAAGAGAAGTTATGTCTTACATTCATTTAGAAAAGATTAGATATACTGTTAGAGGATCTGTAAACAATTTTTTGACATCTGGCAGCCATTTATATCTTATGTAGAAAAAATTTCGGCAGATAATTTTGTGTAAAGGTCAAATATTGGGTCTTTATCACAAACTGCGCATCGTTTTGACTTATGTATGAATACATGATGGATTTAGGTTATGTAGTAGATCCGGTATAGGTGGGGAGGGATGGGAGGGATTTTGGGTGTGTGTGTTTTGTTTTGTGTTTTTTGTAAGTCTGTTCTTTTTTGTGGTTTATGTTAAAAAAATTTAAATAAAAAGACCTTGATCAAAAAAAAGACTGAATTTTATTTATGAAACAGGCAGAGAATTTGTAGAAATTTCTGTTATGCCTTAAAAAGGAAAAGAGATAACCAAAAYCTATAAATCCATGTAGTTTTAATAGCATTATATGGGTGCTGTTTTAGCTTTTAACTTGAGGTGTAAGTGATGATGAAATGCTGTGACACCTGTGTGATTTTTTTTATATCACTGCTGCCTTTCATATAAACTTAGCTCCTGCTTCTCGTCTGCCTGTGCAACAGTGCCTCTGTTTGGCAGCAATGAAGTAATCTGAGCCATGTTCTGACAAACACACACAGTAAGATGGGAGAAAAAAACACACACTCCTCTTACCATGAAGTAGCTGGTGTTGGGGTCGGCCGTCATGGACTCGTTCTGGAAAGTGTTSGCCTGAACCAGCTCCTCTTCATCCCTCCTGTCTTTCTCTCCAGCGTCATCGTCGTCATCCAGCTCATCCAGGCTCTGATAGGAAACATTGCAACGGGTAAGAGAAAAGTTTTTGGCAAGTAGGGTAGAAATATAAAGGCAGAGCAGAGCAAGGCAAAATAAGGGGGGGAAAAAAGGACTTATAGCAATATTTGACAGTTTTTCAAGCTTTAATGCTATGCAGGTGACTTGAAAAACGGATCTTTTAAAACTGAAAACAATGAAAATTCTCTTTTTACTGAATTATGTTTGTTGAACATATTTCACTTTTATCTTCAACCCATTAGTCTAACCCATATGTTTAATAGCAAGAACCACTGTAAAACATAAATAAAAGCAAAATGACAAGAATTTAAACTCAATATTTATTCAAAAACAGGTTTTAAAACCATTATATTTTATGTCGTAAAACTGTTAAAACCATTTAGATTTTATTGTTTCAATAGAAAGGTTAGGACAGGAAAAATTGTAAATGTTATCTCATTCTTGCAGCTTCTGCCTGCTGAGCTGTTTGGAGCTTTTACTGATATTTTTTCATTTCCAGCTATTTTATCAGGTGACAGGTCTGAACCGTGGTTTTGTATAAACCCTGAACATCAACCGGATGACAGCATGTGTGGCTGTAAAGTATATGGTTCCACGTTAATGTCTTTAAAAATGTGCAAGTTCTGGTTGTTGTGTAGATTAATGCACCTCCAACCCATCAGTGAGGCTGGATGGTTCTTTTTTTCTTTTTAACCCCAGAAATTGATTAAAAAATTAACATGTGAGACGACAGGATAAGTTTTGAATTTGCTTCAGCCCATTTCATTTTTTTGAAAGTGACATTCCAGACATATTTAGATTTTTTTTTCTTTACTATGAGGAGCTTTCCCTTATTTTTTATTTTTACATAAAAAAACAATCTTGGAGCTTTGCAGTGATTCCTAAATATTCCGCAAACATTTAACAATCATCAATAATTAGACCTAAAATCATTTTTAAAAATTACACATTTTCATTCTTCATCATGTGCAGAACAAAATATCAAAAAGTAAAATAAAATAGCACAAAAAAGGATTAAAAAATTCTCTTTAAAAGATAACTTCTCATAGATCATTTTGGGTGTTGGTACTGAATTCTAGATGAACATTCATGTGGAAATAGAAATCCTAAATGGAATCTGAGTCATTTTAGAGTATATTAGAGGATATTTTAGTTTTAAATCAGTTATGGGGTTTGATCTGACATGAGAAAATGTTCTCCTCTCGCCACGCGAATGTTGAAACTTAACGTTTTTTCCCACCAGACATCTTGTGAGTCCTTAATTTTAAAAGTTGACGGGCGAGTTATTCCCTTAATAACGGCAGCTTTGACCTTTGGCTCAACGAAATCAGGGTCTCTCTCGTAATCCACACAGGACGCGATTACATTCACTTCCAGGAATCCCTGAGGAGCCGCAGTTGTCAGACAGACTATGGAACAGCACCAGCCTGCAGAAGGGCCTTTCACCTCCTGGGGATGATTGGAGGTGGAGGGCTGAGCAGCACTAACACAAGAGTAAACACAGCTTTGACAGAGAAGAGCTTCCTGGGAAAAACCATCGACTTATCTGGATGATTTTTTCCCCCTTCGTCCAGAAACAGACTGGGCTTTCTGTTTGGATGACTTCATGTTGAGAACAAAAAAAAAGTCACATCTGTGGGGATGTGTAATGACGCTACATAAACAGAGTTTGGACATTATGATGAAAATGTGGGTTGTGAGTTTGGGGCCACAACGCAAACCGGCCTTTCCTGTTTCACGCTGCAGGGCTAAACAAAAGATGCCTGCCCGACTGGCCCTTCGGTGGTAAAAATAGCCTTACACGTTTTTAAAAAGGAATGCAGTCGTTTGCAAGGCCTTTTCCTGCCAAACCGTTTATCAGTTGTCCTGGGGGTGCAAACTCTAGCTCTTTAGCTGGTTTCACCCATACGCTGCAGTCTTGAAAAGTTCCAGAGATGTTCCTGTTAAAAAGCAACCATCAGCAGTTTTTCCAGCTTTGATATCTTTCCATAATAGAACGTGATGTTAGTATGGGAGACGAGATGCAAACGTAGCCGCATATCTTAAGGTTTTCCACACCCTCATCACTACTGTGGATACCTTCAGACACACYCAGTAATGAAATACCCATAAAACCCTCCTTAAGGAGCCTCATCCATCATTCTGGAAACACCGAAGGGGGAAAAAAAACATTGATTTTCACACCATCATCTTTGATTCCCATCCTGCCAGACGTGTGCTCTGGGAAAACGATGCCTCAACAACACGTGGGAAGTAAGAAGTTTTTAAGTTACCAAAAATAATTGCATTAAACAGAGGTCTGCTAGTGTCAACACAGAATGAACTGTGCAGTGACTAACCACTTRGCTATGCGCAAACTTCCTTGAAATGTGGAATCGGGAACTTCAGAGTTTGTTTTGGACAGAACGGGAGTTCGTATTGCGCTCGCTACAATTTCAAATTGCTTTGCATTTTTATCTATTCCAAATAAAGGGAAAGGAGGTCTGCGTTCATCCTTATATGGGAACTTTCTCCTCCTGACCTCACTGTGATTTTTCTGGCCACTTTCTTACCCCGGGCAGCTGAAATAAGCAGTCGGGGTGCTGAGGGGGATGAATGTGCAACAGTTTGGCTTTAAATGTTTTCCTGTTCCAAAAAAAAAAAAAAAACAGTGTCAGAGAGCATTGGATATAATAGCTAATGTTAGCTGAAGTATTATTTAAACATTTTAAAACCACTTAAACCAACATCTGGTTTATGTTTAGCTTTTTGCAGGATGGATTGTGTAACATGCTTTAGGTTTTGTTTTTTTTTCCCCTCCTAAAAATGGTTATTTTAAAATCTAAAATTCAGAATTTCAATTAAGTTGGTGAATTTGACTGCAGTCTGCCCCGGCTGAGAGTAATTATGTGCAATAAAAGCACTCCCAGTGAAACACTAGAGCTTCCAGATAAAGTCTTAGGTTGATGAATTATGTAATTTTTGACGATSCAAGTTATCCAACGTCACTATAATGTGTTAAACTTTGTACAGTTCTGTAAAATGCAGCCTAGATGTCAATAACAATATACCGACACCATTAAAAACTTGCTTCCTGTTTACAAAAAATCCAAGTGTCAGGGCCTTAGACGACCATACTTTGGCAAAACATGTAACCACCTCTGCTCCTCCATGCCCACGTCTGTCACTCTGCACATGAAATATATAACAAGCTACATCTGGAGCAAAGTTTTGCAGTCTATTGGAATGTCTGCTGTGGTCGGAATCTGTCTTTGGGGAGGAAAATGATTTTTTTTTCCTGAAGATCCATCTTGGGCTGCAGAAATGTATCCAAGCCTCTTTCTGCAGCCCAGCAGGCGATACGCTTTACCTCCGTGCTCTGGCATTTAACTTAAACACAACAAAAGAAGATGGTGCTAGGAAATGTGGGGCTCTCCACGCAGTTGCATAAAAAAATTAGCTGATTAAAAACAGACAAACTAAAGTTAATTTTGCTTTATTGCAAAGACTTTTCACAATCTGTGATTTGATTTAGAAGTGGGTAAATTTTGATTTAATCCAGAAATTAACCTCCTGTCTTAATATACATGCTGTTTTCTCACCATGCCAGAAGCCCCTCCCCAGGAGGTAAACTCACACAGAGGGTTTCGTGATTTGTGTGTTTTAATCACCCGTCACTCGCTACTGAACAGAGACTGCATTAAGATGATCTATTAGAAAAGATAGAAACGTGGGCGCTGATTAATCGCCACTGCTGGTCAGCTCAGGTAACAACACAGACGAGGACAGCGGTGTGCGGAGGATCAAAGCGAGGACGAATCACAGCGAAGATTAACACTGACCACAGTCAAGGCCAACATCAAAAGGRACCAAAGCTTTGAGAAAGATAAGACATAATTTGACACCTAAAAATGTGTGAGTGGATTATTTATTATTGGCAACAAAAGATTTTATTTGGTCAGTGTAAAGAAAAATGTCTTTAAACGTATTTCCTAATTATTATATTTGCAAATTCATGTTTTTGTGTAATTTTGCACTGACTTTCATGATGTCAACATTTCTTTCCTTTGCTAATAAAATACTGTTGACTTTGAACACAGGTCAGACAATGATAAAGATTAGAATAAGTAGAGAGAACGTCTTGTCAGACTTAATTTGATTTAAAGTGTTCATGGGGGCTCTGTGTTTCATTTTCCAGGAAAAAAACTTACTGACCTTTATTTAACCTGCCAAGTCTTCAGAGAATAAAATCTTTCTCCAAGTTCAGGGAGACATATTGGCATAATTATCTTACAGACCATGACAATGCAAACATTCATAAAAGAGATAAGAAAAAAGTGGGGGATGAAAGAAGAAAGTGAAGGCTAAAGCTGCACGTTTTAAAGATTTATGAATTCCTCATTTAGGATCTATAAAAACGAGGAAACAGAAAAGATTCTAAATCAGATGTGGAGGAAAGTGAAAGATGAGGATTTTTAGTGACGGGGTTTTTGAGAGAAATAAACGTGGTGCACACTAAAGCTGAACTCAAAACTCAACAGCCTTTCTTTAAAATCTTCTGTTTTTAAGTCAAACTGAAACATTATGGCTACCTCCAAGTTAGAATACAATTAATTAAAACTAAACCAGAGTTCCCTTTACATGGGGGTCAGAGCAAACAAAAAGCTTTCAGCAAACAAACAGCGGGTTTCTGGTTGCGATTGTTGACCTAGAGAGCAGCATTAACATTCTTCTGGATGTGTCGGGCTGAACCAAAGGCCTAAGGGCAGTCCAGCTGGGTTCAACAGAACCAGCCAGAGATCGCAGCAACAGTTTTATTGGATCTGTGGGAAACCGCGCTCTGTGTGCCTCAAAGTTTGCCAACCTTGTTCTGTGGTCTGATAACCTCAGCTGTGGCTTGGAGCGGGAGCCGCTTCAACTGGGCTTTTAAAGAATCGGAGCATGTTTTATTAGGGAGAATTTGCACGTTCTCATATTACTCTGTGTGAATGGGGCTTTACAATAAAAAAAAA